GGGTAAATAGGGGAAAAGTGAGAACGTAAGCGACGTCTCCGGAAAGACTTGTTTTTTAACACGACACTATTATTTGATGTGGATAACATATTTTTATCGCACCATCGTGTTTTGAAGCCAAATTATATACGTTTAAAAAAGTCGAGGAAAATAAGGGTAAATTGGGGCAAAAGTGAGAACGTAAGTGATATAGCCATACTGTCGTGCATCGGTTCAGTAACCGCGGCATTGCCGCGATTGGCTCATAGCGGTCCATATCGTCACGGTTAGAGACTACCAAGTCGACTTCGGCAAAGTCGACTCTATTAGTAAGGTTCCATGATACTCAGTCAAGAAGCCCGGCTCTCGACCGAGTCAATGTACACCTGTCTATACGATTACATTGAGATTCTCGGCAAAAAGCCAAATGTTACGAAGTGAAACGCAGTGAAGTCCCTGGAACGGGTTTTTAAGATTTTCAATACCCATGTTTCCCGAAGCGACACTTTGTGCCACTCCTTCAAGCAAAGGGCTTAAAACCCTTCTTTCTTTGCCATGGTTCGTGACTGATTTGATTCAGATGCCGCCGAAGGATCAGCCGAAGCTAGCTCGACCGTGCTTCGCTTCGTAGCCATCGCGGCCTCAAAGGCAGATACTATACAGAGTATTACACCCCTGATCCTGAAATATCGATTGCTCTGGTTCTATCAATGATGGCATGACCTCTCCGCTAGAATAAGTCGACCTCTGGTAAGATAACGGTCAGACGTATTAGGGTCTACTAACAGTTGAGTGCGACCCAGTCGACTCGACGCAATATCTCAGGTCGACTGAGGGAGTTGTAGCTCGTGGTGCCCGATAGCTTTGACACACCTCAGCATATTGAAGAAGAATTAAGGATAAGAATGAAGCTAAGGAAGGATCTAGATGCTGACTAGGAAGTAGGCGGAATATGAACCGACCGGGGTATTGTGGACATTTCCATTAAGTCGGTCGGGGCACTTTGGGGACTTCAGGTATATAGTGTACTCCTATATAAAGGACTGAGGTAATCCCAAAACCCTAACTCCCATTCATTCCATATCCTATTCATTACTGCTGCTGCTCTGATAGCAGCTATCATCACCTCTCTCAGATACTGACTTGAGCGTCGGAGGCTCTACGCCGGAAACCCCTCCGGCGTTGAGTTCTTGCAGGTGTTCTTGCGGCTCACAACAACGGTTCGATCGCCATCACATCAGATCTAAGCTCATCCGTACCGGTTCGTCCCAGATCCGGACGTTTTCTCATCAGACCGTCCCAGATCTGAGAAGAAACCCATCATTTGGCGCCCACCGTGGGGAGCTCTTGAAGGAATTAAGAGCTTTACACCTAGCTAAGATCTGTTTCCGATGGCTGAGAAGGAAGGAGTGCAGAAAAACTTGAACGAGGACTTC